ATATTTACACATGTGGGTATGGTTTATTTCACCTACGAGTATATTTTCAAGTGGCATCCACTACTTATATTTGAGGACTTAGAGTGTTTCATTTTTTTTTTTTTTTTTTTTTTTTTTTTTGCTAAGGGTTCAGAGACGCCAGCAAAGCACCAGCATCTGTTAAAGAGACTGGATATTGAAAATGATTTCTGAAGCACAGGCCCTTTGATAGGTTTTGTCTATGGCGCACTGGCTTTTTTTCTTTGTCATGCAGGAAGAAAGCTTCCCCCAACCAGAAAAAGGCAACGCATTAAACATGGATTTCCAAAGCTGGAGCTCATCTGCACAGTTCTGGGTGCAGCAGGGAGGCCTGGGCCCCATGCCTGAGTGTGTCTAGTGTGGCTCATTGTTCCTCTAGCTCTTCAGACTCATATCACTGCTGACAGTGCCCAAGCTGACAACTCAGTGTGAGTCGCCAGGGGCCACCTCCTGGGGACTCAGCTCTCAAGGACGAGGGCCCTGGATCATTTTCTCCTCTCCTGGACACAGTGTAGTCTAGTACCAGGCATAGCAGGGACACTCAATATACATTTATTGGGTGAAGAAGAAACAAAGAAACGTCAGCCTAGAACCACCTCAGAGGCTACTTGCTGGCATAGGGTGTACACTGTCCAGAGCAGGTCTTGATCCCAGAATGTCAGTGGCCACAGGATAAATAGGAAGCGAGTGAGTCCCCCTGCTTAGGCATGAGGAGTAAAACACTCCCCTCTGGATATTTTAGCTTATGAATATCATGACTTCTTGTTTCTAGGATTGTCCACAATTCAAGACATATTCTAGGCAGTTTTCCAATACTCATGGCCAATGCCTTCTGTTTCATTTCATTATGGTGCTGAGGGAAACTAGGTAGCTGTGTACCCTTGAACTGAGATGTTGGGAGGGATATTTCCTAGGAAGAGGAAGGCTCCCAAGAGTCATTGACAAGACACAGTTTATCATCACAAGCATCTGTCAAGGAGTGTCTGGAATTTTCTCATACTTAACACACACACACACACACACACACACACACACACACACACACACTGCCTGCAGAGTCCAATGTGTACCAAAGGGCAGCCAAACAATGTCTTTTCCTTTGTCTGAACAATATCCTTTGAATTTATGCTAAGAGCAAAGTTCTGCTTGTACTACAAATATTTGTTCTACTAATGTCATATACAGCAGGCTCCGGGACCAAAGAATAATGGGCACAATGGGGCTTTGTTGGAACAAAGGAGGATACATGCAAGTAAAGTTTGAATGTGACAGCAAATCCATTGCCTACGAAGCATTTCTTTTTCCTCTGGACAAGGTGACGTAGGAGGAGAGTACAGTAATATGTGGGATGTAAGAGGATGCCTTTTAATTTCTAATGGAGGCATCAAGAACTTGACTGAGTGACGAATGGGTGGAGACAGGCAGTTTGTCCCACAAGACACCCTGCTGCTGACAGTTCAGGATCCAGCGACACGCCTGGTTCCTAAGAATGAGAGGCAGAGTCCGGTTGCTTTAGTGTGTACTAAGTACACAGTTACGAGTCAAGAGAAAGAGAAAAAAGCAAACATGAAATCAATAAAAGGTGAAAGAAGGAGGTGGAGGATGAGGAGCACTCGGAAAGGAAGAAGGATTATTGGGGAGGGGAGAAAAGAGTGAGGAGGACGGGTCTACAGATGAGGTGTGGGAAGCACAGAGAAAAGTGTGGCCTAGGAGGGGCATGCTCAGAAAGCACTGCGCTCAGCACTTGGCATACACGGTGCCAGAAGCCAAGTGTGGAGATGGAGTCAAGTAGGTGAGCAGAGGGAAATGTAGGTGCGGCAATCAGCAGTCAGCACTGGTTCCGATGTAGACAGACGGGGGCAATTAATCCAGGTGAGTCGTGGGCCTTGGAGACTCATGACTGAGCTACGGAAGCCCTGTGGCAGTGTCACAGACAGATGGCATGGAATTGGACAGTAAAGAAGGCCTCCTGAGCTCTGTAAGGAGGCAGAACCAAAGCTACCTCGATCCTGAGCTGAGATCTTTCAAGATGAACATTGATCTGTGGGTGTGATGAAAATACTGAACAGATTCATTGATGTAGAGGAATGTGGGGGCCTCTAGGAGACAGCTCCTGACAAGGGGACAGAAAGGCAAAATGACGCCACCTCAGATGGGCAAGACTTCCTGTCCCTGCTCCACCATGAGCCAGCTCCGCAGGCATCCCCGTAACCTCTCCTACCTTCCCCTCCTTGCCTAAGCAAGGGTGTTTATTATTCAGGGGTCCCCCCAGTCAGCGTACATGGCAACACGAGCCCTCCTGGTTGTTTCTACTCAGCAGCTATTCCATTCAGTCAGTCCTGAAACATGTATCTTGTTAAGCATTTTGGAAACCACCATGGGGTAGTAGTGTCCACCTTTCTATTGTATCCACCTAGTAGTGTCCACCTCATGGAGCTGTTCTGAGAACTATAAGTTATATGCATAAAGCATATTGTGCATTGCCTGATATATAGGAGACCCTAAAATAAATAGTATTCAAAATTACTATTTTATTAAAATAGTTATCAGTGTTGCTTACTGTTTTGGACTAATATGTGTTAATCTACAAATTCTCATCGAAGTCCTAACCCCAGATTTGACTATTTTTGGAGGCAGTCATTGAAGGTTGCGTGAGGACATGGGGAAGATCCTGAGTCTGATGGGAAAACGACTTTATTAGAAGAAGCAGCAGCGCAGGGCTGTCTATCCTCTCATGCACACAGCAAAGGCCAAAGCCATGGGAGGACACAATAGAGAGGAGTCCACCTGCAAGCCACGCGAGAGGCCTCCCGGAACCCAGCTCACCTCTGCCGAGACCCCCAGCCGAGTGAGAGTAGGAATCTGTTAGGTCACTCTGGTATTTCCTCCTGTCAGCCTGAGTTGATAAAAAATCTAACTGACCAAGTCACATTCTGTAGACCAAAGATGGAACCTCTACCAATGTAGCTGGCAAAATAATCAATTCATTAGTGCCCCCCAATTTAGAGCTGGAAATACTCCAAGTGAGATTTTGTTTTGTTGTGCCTAACCCAA